CAAGTGGGATTGTCCAGGCCCTCCCAGTAAAGGGGCTGTGGGTCTGGAGTGATCCAGGCCCCTCCTGCAAGGCTGGGCACATGGGATGCTGCCCTAGGTCTGTTCCTCACCCCCATCCCTGGCAGGGTATTACTGCACTACCCAGTAGCATAAAGGGCTGACAAGAAAGGAGGGACCTGGTTGTAGATGTCTCAAAGATAGGAATGGTGTATCTGCGTGGAGCCAGATGGCTGCAAGTTTTCTTGCTAACAGAGGGGAACAAGAAACCTTGTGGGTTTAAACAGTTTTTTGTTCAGGTGTTTCTGTAGCTGAAGGATTCTGTAGTTGATGAATGAACTTGGAAAGGCATAGTCTCTGTTCACCAAGGGAATTAAAAGCTCCTAAGGAGACTGAAGTGATGGTGCTGCCAAATAGCCCAGACCAGGGGTTCTCACCCGATCCAAACTGTCTTGCATGTTCACAGCACAGTTCTGAAATGCGGTCTTTCACCTGATGGGAAAGGGGTGTTGCGTGATGCATGGCTCCTGATGGATCTTCAAACCTGATTGGGACACTCCTCTCAGTGAGGGACAGAGTAACTTCACCCCATTCATTGGTCCAATTCTTCATTGAAATTGGGCAAACTTCAACCAGGAACCTTAGAAAGGACTGAACAGGATTTTGTGTACCCAGCTGATCCAGGACTTGTGTTTTAGGACATTTGTGTCTCAGGCTCTGCTTTACAGTCCTGAGCATCCCAACTGTGTGGGCATACAGGTACTGGTGGTACATAAAAGCACTGCTGCTGGGATAGGAATGGCCCTTCATGTCCGTGGGACACTAGCCTTGAAACACATGTTCTGTATCAGAAATATCACCTGGGTGCTTCTGGGGTTACCTGGATGTTTGTTTTGGTCCAGGTTTACTGAGTTTGTGGATTATTTTAGTTTCTTCAAATTGCATTCTGTTCTTCCTGGGGGTTTTGTCTGTTGCCTATCAGAGCAGAGCCCTGTGGGGAAGATATCTCAGCTACTGAGCATCTCTCTTTTTCTCTCCCTCCATACAGATGAAGTGAACTTGCTGGACAAAATCACTTCCCATGCACAGGACCTCAGCAATGTCTCCTTTGTCCACGATGAAGCCAACTGCAGCATCCTGGAGATCGGGCAGTATGCTACCCTCAACATCCCCATGAGAGAGGCATTTGGGGACAGGTAGGCTGCCTTCAGGGGATGGAGTTCGGGGGTGGTGTTCAGAGTCATCTCATGCATTCATCTTGGTCTGAGTGGTTGCTTTAAGGCCCCATTCCGTGACACAAAGATAACGCATCCACTTTGAGCTCTTATGAGCCCAGTGCTTCTTCCCTGTCTTCCATCTTTCTTGGTTGTATGCAGGGAAGACATTGGCACACCATTGACTGACCATTTCCAGGAATATTTTTTCTTGGTGTTCCCATTGGAAGATTTCTCTGCTTCAGCACATAACTGGAGAGAACAAGAGGGTCAGCACAGCCATCTCTATGAGCATTGCTTGATACCAAGGTAGTGGTCTGTGGAGGCATAGACCAGGTCAAACCTTTGCTGTTCTTGATGTAGGGTTGTAGCTTGCTTAGGACAAGGACACTGGCCATGGTGAGAGAAGGCAGCGTGGAAGAGCTGCTTGCAACTGGATCACTATCCAGTCTCAGCCATGGGCAGAGCAGGAGTCCCATGGAAAGTCATGCACAGCCACTTAGACATGTGCTGAGATTGCACCTGAGAGATGGACAGCGCTGATTTTGGTCTGGCTGCTGCTTTTTGAGTCTCTGACCCTATAACCTGAATGATCGGTTTTTTGCTTTTAATTTGTTCTCATTGAGTTCATTCGTGCTGTGACTCAGGGTTTTTGTCCTTCAAAGGTAGTTCATGGTGACACAGCAGATACTGCACAATGTGTTGCTTCTTTCTGCTAGGTTTGCAGATGAGCTGAGCGTGCTGATGAAGCTCAGGTACTCACTGAAAGAGGACACCAGCCTGGTGACCATCCTCAGCCATCGGAGCCACGTGCTCTTCCAGATCAGGATCAACCCGTACGCCTTGGTCTTTGTCACCACAAGGAGGAGGCACTATGAGTAAGTTCTAGCTCAGGTGGCTTTTTCTGCCTTTTCATGCTTCCTTTACTACTCCCAAGGCCAGAGTTAAGGTTTACCACTCTGTGCTCTGGATGCTGCTCTGACCCCACCTCAGCTGAATCAAGGTCATGTCCCCTCATGGGTGATAGCCCCTCAGACCTAGTGGTGTGACAGCATAGGTAGTCCCTGCCTAACTGTACTGTCAAAACAACGTAGATCTGGCAAACAAAGTAAAGAACAGAAAGATTCAAGGGATAAATCAAGTGGGGAGAGACCCAAATACCAATAATTTCCCAGACTCCTCAACTGGCTGTTGACATGCCCAAATCCATTGGAGAGAAATAGCATCCTCGTGCTGGAAAAGAAGTGATAGTGCTTACTTGTCACAATAGGTAGACTTGATTTCTCTAGTTCTGTCCTTTGCATCTGCACTAAGGATAGAACCCTGGGAGGTGTTAAGGGTGAAGCCATGTCCTGCAGAAGGCGTGGGACCCAAGTTTCATGTTGTGTCTCTTCCCTTCCCACTCCGGGACTTGCAGATTCCCAGTTTCATTCCTTGGCGATGGGCACTGGCACCAGGTTGCTCTAAGCATCTCCTTGGAGAGGCTGGAGTTGCACGTGGACTGTCGGCTGGTGGACAGAGTGAGCTGGTCCAACTATTTTGGGATGGGAGTGAACACTGAGGGGCTTATCATCGTTGGAGGCCTGATTGAGTCCTTCGAGATCCCCTTTAAGGTGAGAGCTTGACAGGCTTGGCAGGGCTGTATTGGAGGACATAGTCTGCTCTAGCTGCATCAAGTGGGGTTACAGCTCCGCTCTGAAGGAATCCATTGCTTTGTCTTCCTTAACACACCATTTATTTTCATTGGGAAGGATGAGCTTTGCAAAGGCTTTGAATTGTGCAAAGTGATTGATTTTGGGGTCAGGGCAACACAAGTGTCAGCAGTCAGGTCAGCAAGAGAGACCTCTAGGTTACAGGTTACAGGCTTACACTTATCCTCCCTTGTCGACAATGACTTGTACCAGGTACAGAAGTCATCTATGCAGTCAGCATGCAAGGAAGTTGGTGAGGAACTTGTCTCATGAATATATTGAAGGTGAAGTCCCTGCTCTGAGCACTTTACAGGTAAAGGATTCCCAGCAGTTCAGAGTAGATGGTTGTATTAAAATGCCTGATAAACTCAAAGGCCATAATTGTGGCTTTGTGTTGATATCCAAGAGTTGGGGTTGTTCAGCCTGAAGAAGATGCTTTCAGCCCTTGTATCAAGCTCTTCTTCAAGGAAGAAAAGGAGTGAATGTTAATTGCCTAAACTATCCTTTAAAGAAGTCCCTGGTTATGAGAAGCTAGAGACAGCCTCCCAGACCATCCTTCTCTGGAGGAACCATGGGTAAACTATGGTTTCTGTGTGTCTTCTTCCTCAGGGTGCTCTGCAGCAACTGACCTTTGTGATGGGAGACCCAGCAGCCGCCGCTGAGCACTGCCACAGCTACAACCCAACGTGCGTGTCCTCCTTCAACATCAATCGCTCTGGTTCCCCATGGGAGCTTCCAGCAGCCTGGCCGAAGGTAGGACTGAAGGCAGCTGCAAAGCTGGGGTTTGCTCCTCTTCGGTGTAGCACAGTTCAAATGAAAGGACTAACCTAGGATGTTAATACAGCCTGGAAACCCTTGGGTCTCCACTTTGAGTTGAGATGCAAGGAGGTGATGGTGGCCAGCTCATCGGGTGTTTCCTCATTCACCATCCAAACCCTCCCTTCAAGTCATAGATGGGCTTGGTGCAACAGGCGAATGAGTTAAAAGGAGAGTTTCTGAGCCAAAGGAAGCCTGGGGGTGTGTACGACTGGATGTGCTCATGTGTTTAGCACAGGGAAGCTGTGAGTATCTGTTGAGTAATGCTGCAGCTGGAACTTCGCTTTTGGGAGGGGATGAAGGCTTTACTTGGGAGTTGTACATGGCTTTGAAGTTCTTGCTCTATCCCAGCAAATTTGAACCCTTTGGTGAGTCAAAGGCTATCTCCTGTTTGCCAGCAATGCCGGAAAATTGAGGTTTTGTGGATTTTACTCCTATTCTGACTTTCAGCAATTTTCCAGAGATATCTGTGTGCCCAAAAGCTCAGATCACCTCAGCAGCTGGAGCTGGCTCAGGGACACGCCTCATCTCTCTAGGCTGGGTATCTAGAAGGGCTTGTAGTTACCTAGAAAAGGCTTGCTAAAGAGGGACGTGCCTAATGTCAGCATTTGGCATGAACCTTCCATGTGTAATACACTTTTCTGGTGGTCTAGTGAGAAGCTGGGATTGCTGATGGGAAAGGGCAGTGTCAGGGGAGGGAACTGGGTGTGGGATAGGGCATCTGCTCGATCTCGGTCCTGACCTTCCTCTGGGATCCTATTGCTAGCACAGCTAGCTAGCAGAGCTTTCTGGTCTAAGGAAGATCGGTGTGTCAGAGTTCCTAGGAAGTGTAGCCCATGGGCATTCCCAAAATGATCCCCAGCATTTCACATGCTGACAGCCCTCATGTACTGGCTGTAGGTCCAAGATAAGCTGGATTCACTCCCTGGAGCTATAAATGCCTGATTCTATGATTTAAAAGCTAAGAGATGTGTTCTCTAAGCCTGCAAGGTGATGGACTCCTCTTAACCTGCTCTGTATTATCCTGCACTCTGTAGGCCTGGAGCACTCACCTGAATGTCTCCAGGGGCTTACTCAGCAAGGAGAAAGCTTTGGGTTTTGAAGCATCATTGAATTGACTGCAAGTGGGAACCCACAGGAATGTTCCCATCCCTTGATCCTGCTCAGGACTGATGGGCTTTAAACCAAAAGAAACTTCAAAAAACACCCAGAGACTTGAGAGCTTTAATCAAAACTTATTCCCTCATGTTATTATGAATGCCTGGTTCCCAGTGTGCATCTTCTGGATGTTTCCTGTGCCATTGGAGGCAGTGAGCATTTCAGTTCTGGAGCCAACAAGAAGCACAGCTGAAGTAAGAGCAGGTCCTTGGGCAGTGATGCTTCTCTTCCTCTCTCCAACTGTCTAGGTGCCAAAAGAAACCAATGAAATCCAGGACTCACCTGCTCAGGTATGACTCTTCCGCACTGCTCCAGGGGGTATGTGCAGGGAACACCCCTCTCCATGTCCCACTGTGTCTCACCACCATAACTTCTGCTGGATAAATGAGTTGCTTCAGCAACCAACTGGGTAAAAAGCCCAAAAAAACCCATCAAGGCACCTACTTATTTCTCTTGCAATGTCTCTCTCTAATGGTTTGAGTGTAACTTGACATGTCTTGGAGATGGAGGCCAAGGTAAGTGCTTAGGTGACCTTCCTGAGCAGTTACACTGAGCCCAAGAGTTGTGGCTTGAGGAAAGTGATGAAATGGATGAGGCCACTGTATGCACAGGATGTTCCTGTGAGCCTGGCTGGAATTGCTCGGAAAGAAGGGAACAGTGAGGTTGACAGGTCTCTGCATGGTACAGGAAAAAGCAGGAGGCTGATGACTGTGGCTTCTGCCCACGTGTGTGGTGGGATGTCTTGCCTGGGGACGACTTGCTGCTGCTGCTTACTGTGGTTGGGGTGGAAAAGGCTCAAGCTCTGCAGTGGGAAAAGGTGGTTGTGATTCTGTGTGCGCTGGGGGGGGTGGGTAAGTGCTTGCTCCGAGTGAAGCACGCTGCACATCCTTTATGTTTCTGCTTTATTTGGGATCTCTAGCCAAGGTTTGTTGTTCAAGTTCTTGCAAACAGACATCCCGAGGGGGAAAGCTGCCAGCAAATGTAAAATGAGATCTGTGTGTGTGCGAGCAGAACACTCCCGTCTGTGTTCCCCTCACCCTCCCAGGCATTGCTTTAACTGTTTGGGGATAGTCTCTGCTCTCACTCCTGGCTTAAACTGTCTGGCTACATCTTATTACTGCTTTGTGCAACTGGTGCCTCACATATGGCCGAGTGGCCTTGTGCAGCAGAGTTCACACGCTGTTCCAGGTCTGGAGCATGACACAAGGGTTGCAGCAGTGCAGATGAGAGTGCTGCTTGTGTGCTGATGAGGCTGCTTGTGGGCTGGATTTGTGATGGTGATAATGAACCGAGACGGGAAAATCACCCCTCTGAGCATGTCTGGAAGGTGATCTCTTCCCTGCAATTAGTCGTCAAATCCTGACGGATCCCGTTTAGGATGTGCTCCCCCATCCAAGCACTTATCCCAGCGACTGCTGTGAATTAGTGAGATGCTGCCCTAATAAGAAAAGTGGTGAAATTCATAGGTCTACAGGGGAAGACTAAGGATATTCTGGATTTGGGACAAGTTTGTTTTTCAAGCACTTAATCAGCACCAGAGAGGCCTCAGGATCTTTGGCATGTGAATTTATGAAGAAATGCGCTGCTAATGTGTTGCAGTGTGACAGTAATGAAGAGCAGATCAGCTCTGCTGCAGGGGCACTCTGGAGCTATGCTTTGGAGTTACACTTTCCATGCCTTTGTTCATGAATCAGTGTATTGGGGAATTCCTTCATTGCTGATTAGAACTAAATAATTATGGAAGGCTAGGATGGTGGTGGGGGAAGATAGAAGTGGATGAAGGCACTAGATTAGTTGGCTGTTACTGGCAGCCTAAATTATACCTGAATTGCAGTCTATTCCTTTTGTGAATTTGTTATTTTGAGGGGAAGATTGTAATTTATGAGTAATGCTTGAGATGAGATAGGAATGGTATTGAACCCCTTCTCCAGCCTTTTTTCTTCTCTTCGTCTGCCTGTACTAAGCATGAGCAGGAGGGCTGAGCTGATTCCTACACTGAATGGCTTTTTCCAAAGCAACTGAAACTGGGATCCTAAAGCCATTCAACCAAAAGTCAAATAAAGCTCAAATCCCACGGGGTTCCAATGAGAAAAAAATTCACAAGTTTCATTATTTGGACAGTTCAAACTACTTCTGAGATTCAGCCTTCTAATACCTAAAGGGGTGACAAGAAACGTGGAGAGGGACTTTGGACAAGGGCCTGGACGGATAGGACAAGGGGAATGGCTTTAACCTGCCAGAGGGGAGATTGAGATGAGCTCTGAGGCAGAAGCTCTTCCCTGGGAGGGTGCTGAGGCGCTGGCACAGGGTGCCCAGAGAAGCTGTGGCTGCCCCATCCCTGGCAGTGTTCAAGGCCAGGTTGGACACAGGGGCTTGGAGCAACGTGCTCTAGTGGAAGGTGTCCCTGCCCGTGGCAGGGGTTGGAGCTGGAGGAGCTTTAAGGTCCCTTCCACCACAAACCAGTCTTGAAACTGTAGGAAATCATGGGTCAAGGTTGTTACTGCTGTTCCAGCTTTATGGCTTGTGTAAACCAGCAGCCAGGGAGCAACTGGCAAGTAATTTTTCAGAAACACTTCCAGGGAGCAGGAGGCCAAATGAACCAGAAGTGTGCTGGGAACGTGCTTGTCTCTGCTTCTGGGCTTGCACGTGCTTAGCAGGAGACTCCTGTGTGGCACGATTCAGGAGCATGTATTTCTGCTGGGTCAGGCAATGTTTGGTGCCAGCAGAGAACATAGAGCAAATGAGCTTGGATTTCAAAACAAAATATTTCTAGTGAGTTTTTTTTGTCGTCAAGTCTGAGTTTTAACTAAAACCTCTTTTGTTGAGGTTTTAATATCTCAAATGTACAGAGTAAAAGATCTTACTTGACAGGACTTTCTTGTTAGCTTTTGATCATACCAAGAAACATTCCAGTTGAAAAAAGCAAACCACAATGTGGTGCTTTTCATGATTAAGAGAATTCGTATGCAAAGAAGAGAGGAAAAAAGCTTGGGATATTTTATGGCAAAAGAAATCTTGGCTCTACTTCAACTTTAGGAGGAAGGTCCATTTTACAGCTAATTTTTGAAAGCAGCAAATGGTGGTGTAGTTGCTCATTTCTTATTAGCACCTTTGCTTAATGCTGAAGTACCAGAGCATCCTTCCTTCAAATCAGAGCAGTTCGAAGCCTGTGTCTGTGTATCTCAGCCATCTGAAGACCTCTGAAGCCAGTTTCTCAGGTAGGATAAGGTGTCTGTGGATAATTTATTTCACCTCAAATCCACTGTGTGATAAATGTGATGGAATGTGTTGGTGTGAACTGCAGTGTTTAACCACCACCCCAGGTCAAAGCAATAAAGTGCTATTCCATCCAGTCGAGTCCTGATGCATCCTCCAGTGAGAGTTACAGCTGCTCTGCAACCCTTTATGATCTGACCTTCTGCCTGGGTTCAGGTTTTGTGCCCTTGCTGACTTATGGCTTGCCTCATGCCAGGAGTATTGCAGCAAAGGCTTTGCTTGATCCACAGCTTCTCTGCTCCTGTGTGAGCAGCTTCATGGGGCACTGCACTTCCCACCAGTGTTCATGTCCTTCTGCAGGCTCATGGCTGTGTGCTTGGGGCAGCCACATCTCCTGGGTGCAACGCCAGCAGGGCTGCTCTCTGCCTGAGGGCCAGAATGGGTTTTGCTCTGCTTTTTGCTTTTGAAAAAGCTGTTGGAGGAAAGGCACTTGTGCTCTTTGAGAGCACGGCAGGGAATATGGGGGGTCCTGCAGAGTCTTTCCAGTCTGATTGTGGCCCCTG